AGCAATCCTTAAAAGAACAAATCAAATGTTGAAATTAAGAAACCACTTTTAGGGGAAACATTTTTTAAATTTTATAGCAGCAACATACCAAAAACTGGTGAAATGTCAACAAAAGGCTGTAAAAGTGATATGAATTAAAACAACTAAAGGAGATTTTACCCCTAACTATGTAGACTGAATTTAAAGAGATCGTTTTACTAAAGCTAAGTAAAATAAGCCAATGTTTTTCAGTCTGCAGCAAATGCATCTAAAAATAATGGAACAGTTTTCTGTTGTTTTTAAAAAGCTGTATATATCCGAAATAAATTTGACTTTGCATCATAGCCTATCTAAACGTCCTGAAATTGGCCTCTGTCTCTTTAAGAACCTCAGACAGCTCCACACGGCTACGACAGGAGACTCAAGGATCTCTCAAACATGCATGAATGAGTCAAAGCAACACTCTGGGTATGCTTTGATGAAAAGATGACATTATAACATGATATAAAGCTCAAAAAGTTCAACCACAAGACCCTTTAATTCATTTTTGTCCTCTGGGGGACGCTATTCAGCCCTATATTTTAAACATTACACTTGCAATCTATGTTAGTCCCACTGTGCTATAAAGAGGACATCCTGGGCTTTCTACTGATGTCACATTTGTGGTCATGTGGCTATCAGAGCACATGTATTTGCCTTTTTAAAATGGTGGAAACCCCCATATCAACATTTTATGGCAACAGGATAGGTAAGTGATAAATTTCCTATCAAAAATTATTTATATTGCAAAAAAAATACATTTCTTCATTAGTACGAAAGTGTGCACCACAAGTTTGTACAATTTAAGAAATGTACAATATAACCCTGTAAAAACACGAGTTTTATCCAGTGTCCTTTGTAAGGGACAGTGGGACTTGCTAAAGGCGATCTTAACTTTTCATGCCTTGGAAAGTATAGGACTGAATGAGGCAGAAATGATTTAATGAGTGTTGTGGAAGGAGAGTCAGACATAGAGTTGTCAGGAGATGATGAGGAGGAAGGTCAGATGGTACAACAGGTGTGTGAAAGTTCAGAGCAAGACATAACAGTTTTTGAGGAGCCTATAGAGGAACAACATGAAGACACTTGCCTGCCAATATTGATGAAAATCAATATGTAAGTTAGGGTCATGGAATGGTAATAGTGTGTGCAAAGGAAAAATGTCAACTTTTTAAAATTTATAACACATTGACACAATAATGTAACATTTTGTAAAGGCAATTAAATATGTAATTAAACATTTAGCATTAYGTTAAAGTATAATTCTCTTTTTTTCAATCAACATAGTTTCAACCCTGTTCTGGAGGAGAATTCCTTGCAGGAAAGCAATGGGCACTATCTCCAAGACAGGAGGCCAACTGGTTACTGTAAACCAGTTGTAAAGAACCCTGCTTTATGAGATCAATACCAGCTTAATCTCACAAAAGCATGTTCCACAAGATCTTGCAGAAATGAAATCAGAATTAATGAAACC